CAAGTCCATCACAGGGCCACATAGAGACAAACGAGACAAACAACCATTCACTCTCTCACTCAATTTTAGGGACAATTCAGAGTTACCAGTCAGCCTAACATGCATGTTTTTGGTCTGTGGGAGGAAACCGGAGCACCCGGAGAAAACCCACGCATGCACGGAGAGAACATGCAAACTCCACCCAGAAAGGCCCCTGGACCGGGGTTTGAACCAGGGACCTGCTCGCTGAGAGGCAGCAGCTCTACCAGCTGCGCCACCGTGCTGCCCCTATTTGAATTTATTATTATGTATTGATTATATTTAATTTTATTTTTCAGTATCAAATGGTCCAAAATGTTTACAGTTTAAAAAAAGAATTGTTATTTTTTTCAGGCTAATTGATGCACTTTAAGTTGTTTCTGTTACAAACTAAAAAAACAATGTTATTAATGTTATTCTTCGTTGTAAGTTGATCTATATCCTTTTTTTTCTTTAATGTTAATAAGGACACAATGTTATGCAGAGGTGTACTTATAACAATTTTATAGACATACTATTTACAGTCGCAGCAGAGAGTTGAGGGGGGCGAAGTGTTTACTTCATCCTGGGGGGGGGTAACAGAAAATTGAGAAGCACTGCTTTAAAGGCACTGATACTAAACAGAGGCCAGATTAGAATTGTCCTTACACTGTAACATAGGAGAACTGTCCACAGAACTGCTGCTGGATGACATTGTGCAGGTTGGTGTTCTTCAGCTTGGACAATGTGTCCTCCAACAAAGACAAGAAAAGCTTTGAAAACTCCTGGGCATCCTGAGAAAGAAAGCAACAAAAAACAAATTTACTACAGAATACAAAATATATAGTACATACTTGTGTTTGGATGCAACATTCTGGTACAACCAGTTTATGTTTTTGATCGGCTGGTATGTGGTATCATTGGCTGCAGTGTTTCCCCTACCATTAAACAAGCGGGGCGCCCTGCCCTGTCAACAGAACCGAGCGCCCCATCTACCAAATCCCACCCCCACAGATGTGTCTGTCTCTCTCCTCTCCCCCACCCTACTCTAAAACTGTAAAACTGCTGGTGCAAAAAGCTCACGGCTGTGTCTGTCTCTACCCCCCACCCCCCAAACTGTCAGTATAAACAATGTGCTGTGCAGCTCTGGACCTGTCTCCTTCCTGTCACACACACACACACACACACACACACATCCCACGCAACAAAAAGCACAGATGAGATGAGAGGAGAAGGGGTTCTCTGCAGACCAAAAGTAGGCGTTTCTGGTGAATAGGCGTTTGTCGGCGGCGAACACTGATTGGCTGTGGGTAACCCTCAAAGTCACGAGAATTATTGATGAGGTAACGTTTCTTTGCGATGTTTGACAAAGAAATATGATTTATTGTACTTATAAAAGTATGTTATGTTTTCACTTATGCATATTATTGAAGTAGGTTTATTGTAGGTCACGATAGTTTCGACCGTTCTCTCGTTGTTGTCGTAACGCACTGAGGTAAAGTGAGCCTCCACAGCAGCTCTCACTGTGCACGTTTACAACAACTGGGTGTTGCTTTTCAAAATAAAAGCTGAAAATAAAAGTTCTTAATACTTGAAAAATAAATATTTTAAAGCTGTGTATAACTGAAAAATATGAAAAACAAATAAATAAAAGTTGTTATTAGCTGAAAAATAAATAAATAAATAAAAGCTGTTAATTATATCTATGTCTTTCTGCCATGTCAGGAACCACTCTCACTTCAGGTTGACTCAAGAAGACCCCAAGATGTTGCTCAACAATGTTGACCAACATCTGATGTTGACTTTCAAAATAAATCACCTCCAAAGTTTAACATCGTTCATAGTAATAGTCGAAAGTTGCTGACCTTGTTGCAACATGAGTTAACACAAACATGAGTGTAAATTGTCAATGATTCAATAATGAGTAATAACTTATTCAATAAAAAGTCTGTAATTTGTCAATAATAGTCAATAATTCATTTAAGAATAGATTATGGGTGTTTGGTATGGCTCAGTGGCTAAAATGGGTTGGATGTTAGAGAAATTACTTAATTTTCAATTACCTGAATGCACAAATTCCTTCATTTATAGTTAAACCTTAGGAAATCAACTTTTTTTTTTCCTTGTGAAAAAAATATCAAAATTAACTTTTTTTTTTTTTTTTTCTTTGATGGCCTCCCTTCTCCCCTTACAGCCATCCTCTCCACACCATTATTATGAAATATTTATTATAGTGACTATCTAGTGTAGGGTTTTTTTTTTTTTTTTTTTTTCCAATAGGATAGAAAGAAAGAAAAGACAAAGTAAGACTCCAAAATATAAGAAATATATACAAATAGAGCACACGTCAAAACACCTGGCCACTGTCTGTTCACCTGCAAAGAACATGACAAAACATAGCAACAAAATACATATGTATAAAGAACTTAAAATATTCATGGCTTTGCAGTAAGTTTCCATAAATATATATACCCATACCTACGCGTATATACATACATACATACATACACATGAATATACACTCACATACATATCTATATATCTACATATAAAGCCTAAATAAGCATCCCTGCTTCTATTTGTGTGTGGTTGTGAGCATGCATAAGTGTATAAGGCTTCTCTAATAGAACATTTATTAGTAACTGTGAAGCAGCAGAGACCCGACCCCCAAGACCAGAGGCAGATGAAAAAGGGGGGACCAGAGTCCAAGACCCCAGGAGGGACCCCGACCGCGGAGCCCCCAGAGCCACCCACACAGGACGAACCACTCACCCACCCCCCAGAACGGACCACAGGGGAGAACCGGAAGATCCCCACCAGCAACCACATACAGTGACCCCCCGGGGCCAACAGCGACAAACTCATAGGCCCCCGTCGGCACCCGCCGCACCGATGTAGGTCCAGGTCCAGGCACCGAGGCCCGGGCACCGAGGACTCACACCACCCAGGCCAAGGCCTGACAGGGCCAGAGGACCCGAGCCCCACCAGGCAGACACCAGGCCGAGCCGACACACGCCCAAGCGCCCAGCCCCCGATACCAAGGGCCCCAAGCGCGCCGGCAGGCAAGGGCACACCCCACCAGGGGGCCGCGCGATAGGGGCGCGATGCCAAGCACCCCCAGTTGTATCAAAGAGGGGGCAGTCCGAGTCTTGGCCTAACAAATATCCATTCATACACAGACACAATCACACTATCCCAACCTCAATCTCACATTCATTCACTCAAAGACATACAATAACGATACATTTCATTCTTATTCCCGATTAACTTTAAAATCCAATCCAGGATTAAGTAACAACTAGCAACACCCTAACTGTACTATGTTCTGTGTTTCCAACAGATGCTACGATGACTTCTAAAAATGGATGTCGCAATAAACACAATAAAAAAATTCAATGATGCATCAAATGTTGTCTGAGTATGTTTTAAGGTAATAACAAATGTGAAATCTGGAAAACAAAGAGAATTCCTGAATCTGTCTTGTGTGCTTTGATGTGTACATAAGTTTATTGGAGGTCCTGAAACAACTTTTCTGAGAACACAAAGATTTTTATTTTACCTTTGGCCAAGATGTCAGTTTGAAATCAGGCTGCTTACTGCAAAACCAAGAGGTTTTTTAAGACGGTCTTCATTTGTATTGTTTTGTCGACTAAGCTAAATGTAATTTCTAAAATATGGATGAATCTGATCTCATCATGCAGCATGAGCAACTGGGTATAGGTGTGAGGGCCAAAAGTCTGGTTATGTACTGACTCCTAAATGTGCTGGTTTTCTACTGAAACATGGAGTAGGGTTGACCTTTAAAATGTGAGACAGCTGAGGAAGTTAACCAGTAAACAGAATACCTGCTCCAGTTGTAGAAATCTGACAGAAACTGACAATCACTCATCTGTAGTGACTGCAGGTTGAACAAGAAAATGTGAAGTTAAAGGAAACATCCTTTGTCCCAAGGCCACTTTAAGTATCATTAATATTTTTCTTTCTTTATGAATCGATTGTAACTTTGTTCACATTTTTCAACAACCAAAATGGAATTTGTTTTTTAATGTTATGGCTAGGTATTAAAAAAAACCTAACATTTAGCTCTCCCCACTACCCAGTTATGTTGCTCTTATTTTGAAATGTAACCGGAAGTTCTGTGTTAAGAGAGTCGAAAAAAAGAAGTTATGGAGACGCCGCGGCAGTATACTGGAGCAATGTCGAACCGAGACGCCGCCAGTGTTGAACCTGAGACGCCGCTAATGTTGAACCGGTTAACACCATAGACATAATATGCCTGTGGGTAACACAATCTGCCAATAACATCTTGTTTTTAGACATAATGTGTCTGTGGTTACGGCATTTTATCGTTCAGCCTTTTTTTCTATCGTCCAATCAGATATGGCCGGCCAGACACGCCTATTTTTCTATCGTCCAATCAGATGCGGCCGGCCAGACACGCCCATTTTTCTATCGTCCAATCAGATGCGGCCGGCCAGACACGCCTATTTTCATATAGTCCAATCAGATATGATCACCCAGATACGCCCATTTTCCTATAGTCCAATCAGATATGATCGCCCAGATACGCCTTCCGAATTTGGCTGCAGAGATACCTACTTGGATGAGAGCCCAACCATGGCGAGTTATCTAGGGGAAACAATGGATTGTATGTACACAGCGTGTGATTCCTTAGATAGAGAAATTTACTAATTGGCTTTTATGTATGTGAATGTTCCTGTAAAGTCCCTGAGACAACTTTGTTGTGATTAGGCGCTATATAAATAAACTGAATTGAATTGAATTGATTGCATGTACGCAGCATGCAATTGCATGTGCGCAGCGTGCGACTGCATGTGCGCAGCGTGCGATTGCATGTACGCAGCGTGCGATTGCATGTGCACAGCGTGATTTTACGCGCACAGCGTGTGATTGCATGTACGCAGCATGTGATTGAATGCGCACAGCGTGTGATTGTATGTGCACAGCTTGTGATTGTATGTGCACAACGTGATTGAATGTGCACGTGATTGAATGTGCACAGCGTGTAATTGTATGTGCACAGCGTGTGATTTTATGCGCACAGCGTGTGATTGTATGCGCACAGCGTGATTGTACATGCAGAGTGTGATTGTATGCGCACAGCGTGTGATTGTATGTACAAAGCATGTGATTGCATATACACAGCATGATTGTATGTACACAGCGTGATTCCATGTACACAGTGTGTGATTGTATGTACAAAGCATGTGATTGCATGTACACAGCGTGTG